TATTTTGAAGTTGATAAAATAACAGTTTTTTTTGATATAACATTAAATACATATTCATTTTGGCAATGGCTAAACACAGTGTATCGGTAACAACGTTTTAGTATCCCAAATTTTGAGATCTTTTTTCGTTTCTACTGTTCACCAGCGAAACAACTGAGCAAACAGTTTGAGTAAAATAATTTTTTTTTGTTAAAGTGTCAACAAATGTTGTTGATAGGCTTCAGAAACAGAAATTACTGAAGTCAGGTTTTGAAAAAGTCATTTGCAAATTGTCTGTTGTTTATATCAGTTATCGATAAACCATAAATGAACAAATTTACTGTACACTATTGAAGAGTTCAATGTTTTTTGTCAAAAAATTCAAATAACGATACTTCCCTTGTTTATCAAACTTAAAAAATTTTTTAAGCTTACAAGTTACTATAAATATACATACTTTTTTTACACCGACAAGCGTAAAAGTCAAGTTTTTGCTATCATTTCTATTATTTAACTGTTATTGCTTTGTGAAGGTAAAAAATAAGGTTGAAAAAGATCAGAGTTTCTGTTGGTGCTCAGATAAAAAATAACTTTTTTGGTTTTCTTTTTACATCTCTTTGCTCTGCCATAGGTTTAGTTAATTTTCCTGAAAAATTTGTGACAGAAAAGAAAAACAGTGACAGCAAAAAAAGATAGAAAGTAAACTGACGTCATTTCTTTCTTTTTTTCTAACACTGAAAAGCATCGTAGTATAACAGTGGTCGAAGATGACTTTATTTTGCAGTTTTTTTTTTTGTTTACCGAAAGACTGAAAAAAAAGAATAGGGAAAGGTTTTACAAACATTATTTAAACAAATATATTCATCTGATTGACAACTGCTGAAATGATGGATCTTTGAGTTAATTTTTTTCTTCCCCCGCCTGGCCCCTCTTTCTTCCCATTCTTTATTTCCATTTAACAGATGAAGGAAACGTTATAAACAATGAAGTCAATAATATGATATGCTTTTTTTTTTCTTGCTCAGTAATCATAGGCTTTTGGAATTGTTAATTTTAGTTGTGTCAAACGTTTTGTGAACGATAAAAATATCATCAAAACATCAGCAAACAACATCAAATGCACATATATATATATGTATATATACCAATATATCGTTGGTAATTTAGTATGATGATCGTTTTGTTTTAATAACCATTACAGTGGTGGTGCAGGTGACACATTTGTCGATGATCCCTATCTGTTACACCTCAAATATCTTCTTTATCGTTCACAATTTTAGTTGTTTCCTTTATTTTTTTCCCCGACCTTTTCAACAAATTTTTCTAATTTTAGCACCTGTTTTATTAAACACAAAGCGTGAAAAAAAAAAAAACAAAAACAAAAATAAAAAAAAGATAGAAAAAACCAGTTATTTTTTATTTTATTTTATTTTATTTTTTTTCTTGCTTTCAAACATTTATCACTAAAAATGTAGTAATTTTAAAAAATCCTCTTTTTACTTCGTTTCTTAATCATTTTTTGCTAAAGTTACTGTTGTTCTTCGTTGTTTTTTTTTTTTTTTAGTTTTCAAGAGTAAGCGAAAATTCTGTAAATGTTTAAACAAGTAAAATAAACTGATTAAAATTTTTTTTTTAAACACTAGTAATTCTTTCCAAATAAAAAAAAAACTGATTGACCATATTGTATGACTCCATTTACATCAAATTACAATGTATGATGATGTTACCAGTACCAGAAGAAGAGAACGGTGAAACAGAAGAATACGGAGCTGTAAAAGAAGCTTTGAACTGATGAATTGCTTCAGTAATGCCAACAAAGCAATCAAAGAATCAATAATTTTTTAAGGATTCATTTTATATCTTTTTACTGATTCTCTCACTTCTTCACTGATTAGTTTGGTCTGAAACTTTGGAAGAATCAAGTAACAAAACACGCGTCAACAAATTTTTTTTTTTTTCTGCTGCTGTTGTCAGTGACCTTTAATATCTTTCAACTACATTTTTTTTTCAAGCTATTTTTTTTTTGTTATTCTGTCCCACTTAATGGCTCATTTTTTGTTTTGTTTACTGAAGAAGAACAGTAATAGTGGTACGGATACTTTGACGATCACCATAAATGCTTGACCGTAAGACTTTACTTTGGAACAATGTTAATAAAGCCATATGGCGAGGAAGCTGTCGAAGAAGAAGAAGAAGAAGAAGAAGAAGAAGAAAGAAAAGAAAATTGAATGACAAAATGACAAGCATAAGAGTGGCCTCATTATTTCTTAAGAAAGCTTAAAAAAGTAGTAAAAAAATGTTAAAAACTTTGAACTTTTGTGAAATTTAGTTGATGCTTTTGTTCATCACTCATTCAGTAAATTGATGTCTTTCAGCATTTACACTCCCTGTATACGGTATTCTGCAAACATACAAAACGAAATTCATTTTAAGCAGCGTATCAATGAGAACAATATTCCAAACCCGAATGCTTTTTCTCTAAATACATATCTGATTTTGATAAATTTATTTGAATGACAAATTTTTACACCCAGAAACCAGTTGAGTAAATAAATATTTTCAGTGTACTAACACCTCTTAAAAATAAATAAGTATATATATATATATATATATATATATAT